GAAGGAAGGAAGGAAGGAAGGAAGGAAGGAAGGAAGGAAGGAAGAGAGAAAGAAAGAAGGAAAGAAAGAAGACATGTTTCTCTAGTTCCACAAAAATCACTGTTAATATTCATGTGCAAAGGGCGTAAACGGCCTTTATGTAATATATATACAATATGAGTGTCCGTGTTGTATCAGATATACAACCACAAGAGCCGAAGGCGAGTGATTGTATATCTGATACGACACGGACACGAATATTGTATATTACTTATGAAACGTCTAGGTGTATACATTCATGTTCTACTATAATTTTAAAGATAAAATTGACTTTGGCTAAGAAAATTGGAGTTAAAGTTTATGCAAATCAGGACGATTTTGTATCAGATCATGACAACCTCCTCCACGGACTATGATTTCTATTGTGTTTTCCTCATTAATTATCAATGAGTTTAATAATATTAGTTTGTATATATATCACTATATATTTTTGGAAATTTTACATTTGGTGCCAAAGTCCACGTTTTCAAACTCAAAAGGATTTCTGGCCTGACAGGTCCAAATCAGGACTATAACCAGGAAAAGAAATTTGATTTCATTGATTTTTACACGTGCACTATCATGACCTGATATAACCTAGGTATGAAACTGACCAATAAACGACTTACGAATATTCTCAAATCAAACAGATTTTATTGAATGAAAAGCAAGAGATAGTAATTATGGAGATGGAATGTTTAACATTTAGTCTGAGACCTATTTTAGCAAAACCATTCCAATAATCCCTAATTGCAATTAATAACAAAATGGCTATAATTTCCACTTTTGTTACTCTATTTTCTATAATATTTTCTATAAAACAAACTTGTCATCAAATTTCCACAATTATCCTATAATATTTCTATAAAATTTTCTATAATATTTTCTACAAAATAAAACTTGTTTTACTTTACAAAAGCCATTGTAATTCATTTTTGTCCTCTCTCACCCCACTTCTAGAAGAAGGAGGTCCAATTTGTTACTCTGGGTGCAGAGTTATATTAAGAGTGTGTTAAAAAAGTCCCTGTGAATGAGTAAGGGTAGAGGACAGACTTGAAGGGGGAGGGGGTGGGGGGAGTGACAAAAATCTACTACGAAGGCCTAGTATATAATATGGTTCTATGTTTCAAACAAGTCATGCTTCTTGACATTAGGGTCATGCCATTCTGGCTTTTAGTTGTATTCGAGTGGTTTAGGGACCTCCCATGGGAATCCTGGCTTAAAGTGGCCATAAACACAGCTGTCCTGGTAGATGGGCCTCTTAAGATCAAGATCCCTGCAAAATATCCAGTGAAACATGTTTGAGTATCAAATTGGGTTTGTTGATGTAAAGTACAACCGAATGAAGTTGAGTAGTGGAGTAAGGTTGTGAAGAGTAAGGTGTTGTGGGGAGTAAGGTTGTGTGGAGTAGGGTTGTGTGGAGTCAAGGTTGTGTGGAGTATTAGGTAGAATGGAGTAAGGTTGTGTGGAGTAAGGTGGAGTGAAGTGAGGAAGAGTGGAGTGAGAAAGAGTGGGAGTGAGGTAGAGTTTAATAAGGCTGTGTGGAGTTGAGTAGCATACAGTTACTTAGTAAGCTGCAGGTTGTCTGGAGTAAGATTGTGCGAAGTGGAGTAATGTAGAGTGAAGTAAGGTATTGTGGAGTAAGGTTACAAAATTAATTTTTACTTCACAATAATTTTTTCACTTTTGAAAGATTGAAAGAATATGAAAAATAAAACATAGACACTTACCTTATGATCACACCAGGTCTCAGATCAAAGTTACGTTTAATGATCTCTAATAATTCCTCTTCTGTTCGAGAACCAGTACCGCCATAGGTAAATACGGAGATTGACAATGGTTCAGCTATACCAATAGCATAAGAGACCTGTACAAGCACACGATGGCAAAGCTTAGCCGCTACTAAAGACTTGGCTATCCAACGTGCGGCATATCCTGCTGAACGATCAACCTAAAAACATTTTAAAAAAGTGATATTTTGATTMATTCATTCAGTACAAACCAAACACCTGTTTTATCAAACCCTAAAACGACCTCTTAGCAGATCTATAAAAAAAGGGTAAGACTACCTCACAGATCAAACCTTGAAGCAACCTCTGGGCTAATCAAATTCAGGATGACACGGCTAATTCACAGATCGAACCCTAAAACAACCTCTGGGCTGATCAAAGTCAGGGCATGGCTAACTCACAGATTGAACCCTGAAACAACCTCTGGGCTGATCTAGGTTCCATAAATAATACCAAATCATAAAAGGTTACTATCATTATACCTTGCTTGGGTCTTTCCCTGAGAAAGCTCCACCACCATGAGCTCCCCAACCACCATACGTATCTACAATGATCTTTCTCCCTGTCAGACCAGCRTCACCCTGAGGTCCACCAATCACAAACAACCCTGAAGGCTGCAGATGGTAAATGGTCTTGTCATCCAGGTATTTGGCAGGAACGACAGTCTGGGATTCAAAATAAAGATGATGATAAGAAACAGTTATATCTACTGCACAAACATTAAGGTGGCCTTCAATTACATGATTTATATGTGGGTATGGGGATTTGAAAGG